TCTGTCCGCCATTCGCTGACTTTTTCGGCCGCGTGGAGCTGCGTTCGGTGGAGAATTCGTGATGCCCCCGCCGGGTCTTAATGCCTCGCACGAGCGCAGGGAAGGATGCCTACCTGCAGTGTCGTGTGCCGGAACGCGAGAGGTCCGATTGGGCGGCATAGCTGGAGGTGGAGATCTCGTTGATGATGTCGAGCGCGGCCTGCAGGGCGGCGTGCTTGCCGAGCACTTGCTCCCGATGCTGCCGCTGATCGGGGGACTCATCCATCAGCGCCGAGCAGTCTCCCAGAGCGTAGAGCTGGGCCAGCAGCTCAGAGCTAATGAACTCTTTCACCTTGCCAGAGGGATTATAAACAGATGCGACAAGTCAAACACGTTAGATGCTGTCATGTGATATTTCACTCGGCTTTATGGCATTTCTTACAAGAGGGGTGAAAATATGACATGGGATTCTGCTTTTCTCTTTTGAGCCACTGGAAAAAAAATTTAATGGAGTGGAACCTCGAAAACACTCCATTCCAGTACACTGGTCAACCTTACAATTGTGCGGAATTTGAAACAATTTGTCCCGCGGGAAATATAAATCTGTTCCACTGTCCAACTATCGCCACTATAAACGATTAATAACCAGACAGCGAACGCCAGACATTTGCGGGCATAGGTAGCGAGCCTTGCCATGAATAATGAAAGCCTGTGAGTAATTGATGCCCACTGAAGGAAAAAAAAAAAAAAAAAGGATTAGAATTGCCGAACGATGCCGCAAGATGCCTACATAGCACTTTTTTTTCCTGTCAGACAATGGCCCTTCTCAATGAAGCTCCTCCTCTCAGTCCAACATTGGTGATTGGCACTTAGATTTCAACAGATGGCGCCAAAGCAATATTTTTACGAGACATTTCGAGAATTTTCATCAAGTGAGAAAACAATTAGCCCCAGTATCACCCAGTGACATGACATGCGTATCATCACAGTATTGTCCTAAAAAGGAAATCGAACCATGAAAAGCTGACGTGACGATGGCAGATTTGTTCGGATAATTGTTGCACGTTAATTTATTGCTAGCGTTCGTTAAAAGAAAACATGGGAAGGGGACCTTGAAAAAAAAAATAACAATAATCGCAGATGAAATTTTTATATAAAGGGAAAAAAAATTGCAATGACAATTTTCAAAATTGTTCTGCGCTAGTGTGAATGCTTTTTTTTT